ATACGTATTGAATATTTTTCTCTGCCTGGTACTATGCAAACTATGATTTCGGATCACAAATAAAATGTGTATGTAACATGTTATACAAAATTTGTAATTCAATAAATTATATATACATGTATAAACACTATGTGTAAATTAACACCATAAATTTTAAAAAACTTTATTATTAAAGTTAAAATCACAACACTGGTGCTCAACGTATCTTTTATCGAATAAGTTATCATGTATACATAAATTAATATATACCGTATAACAAATAACAGTAAAATCAGATGTAATAGACCTGACAAATCAATTTAATTCATAAGTCTGTCCGACTTTAGAAATTAACCCTAATTGCTTGATTACTTGAATATATGCTGTTTTATTTTTTGAAATAATAAATACATTGCCGCATAATTATAAGAAAATTATATTACATAATTTACAAATAGAATTATAAAATAGTATTATTAAATGAACTATAAAAAATTGGACCGTTATTTTTTTTACCAAGATTCAATTCTGAACCCGACAGTTTATGCCCTGCAATGTATATGTGGTCTATTTTTTGATTTTGTCCAAAATGAAATCAACAAATTTACCAAAATTATCAAAAACTCCATTAATAGTGGGATCACGCGTTTCATCACCACTTCGATACTATCAAATAAAGATTCAGGTTTAATTCATGTTATATAGTTTGTCCAAGTATTAACTAATCTTACCTTTCCGGTCTTGACTGTAATGAGAGAATATATAAAAGATTAAAATCATTCAAAGCATAGTTAAAATATAGTATCACGTACCAAGATATCGAATCAATCCCAATTCCTTCGCGCCGCCTATGAAGCCAAAAATTGAGCTATTTCATCATAAAACGACAATCATATAAACAGCAACCATCACGCTACCTCCCAAGTCTTGTGTAATATCATCACCGATCATAATAACTTGATTTGCCTTTTCCAGAAGATCCATGTCTTTAAGCGCAGATTCAAAAAAGCTTTTCTCCGGCTTAAATATTCGAGACGTAAAATTGAGGTTACAATATTAATTCACATTGATCAAGATATAAAATATTCTTATTACCTTTCCGACAACAATTGTTTTAACCCCTTCGCAGGCGTATTCTAATGCCGAAACAAATGGACCAGGACCTAAGCTAAGTCCATCTGATTCGGCAAAATATTTGCCTTTATGAAGAGCAATTAAAGGCGCATTTGGATTATCGATCAAGATGCGAAAAGCCTTGTTGAGCTGCGAGTATAGATAATAAATATTAAAAACAAAAATGAGTAAATAAATATATGATCGTAATTGTATTTGCACTTACCACGTCATATCGCAGATTAGATGGTGATAAACCTACTACAACAGCATCCTTTGGTTCTTCTGTTGGAATGCCTTGGAAATCATCCAATGCATCATCTTCCAAAATTAACAAAGGTCTAATTCAAGTAAGATGAATAGATATAGCGCGATAAATCTCCAATGATCAATGCTCGAATACAAGACATCCGAGTTGTCACCTGAGTTTGCGTGAAATTATCAAATTACGGCATGCGCTTAATGTAGTAATTATCTTTTTGAAAATATGTAAATATATCGGCTTTAATACTATGCTATTATTATTTTATATAAACGTAATCAAATTTTTAAAAACAAACCTCATTCTTGTTCGCATCAATACCTGAATCAATCAATTTATCTAAAATTGATGTTCGATTTTCCTTTGTCGTATTGGTACAAAAACGAAACTATATAAAATAAATATTAATTATGGATTTATATTACTGTATATATATATTTGGGTATTGCAAGTGAAAACCAGAAAGTCCAAATATAGAATATAATAATCTATATTTAAACTTCTTTGTTTCCGCTTAACGACATTTATTTATTCAACTGGCTTATAACAGATACTTACTGGAATGCCAGCCTCCCTAAGTTTTTTCAAGCCAACAACAGCACCTTCGCACGGCTAAGTTGAGAAAAGAAATTAATAATTGTTTCAGTGAAGTAGTAATGTTAATAAACTATAAGCAAGTACTCGACTTTGTTTCCAATAAGTAAGGTGCCCGAAATATCAATGAGTATCCCACGAATAGAATTCATTTTTTACACGAATTTCCAAAATTTGAACATTGCTTTATAAATAAATTTCTGTATCCATGTGATCTGATTTAATTGTTATGGATAGTTATTAGCTTTCTCATCAATTTCAAGATGGGTTTAGACAACTATTTTTTTGTATTTCGCTCATAACCAAGCAAAATCATGCTTTAGTAACCATGGCGTAAGTAGTGGTTCAATACAACCCCGTAGTACATAATTTTTTACGTAATTTTGGTCAGAATACTTTTTTTTTCATTCCCAAAAATAGAAAGTTTGAAAAAAGGCCTGCTCTATAGTAGCCAATTACAACTGCCGCGCAGTGATGGGTTCAGTGTCCATGCCATTTAGCCTTGTCATGGGCATGTTCCATCAAGTTTCTACAATAATTTAACCTTTAAATTTAAATTGTTCCACTGTCCCGAACCACTGCTGCCATGACATAATGGTGCGGCAACTTGAACTACTAACGAACAGCGGTTAAAATCACTACCCAAAATTACAACGAAATTTTTAATAAAAAATGTCGAAGCAATTTTACCTATCGCTATCGCTATAGTTCCTCTTAAATCTAATCTCAAAAATGGTCCTAACCCTAATAACAAATAAACGTTAAATTAGAAAACCCGCTCCGCTTTAGCCGACCACAAAAAATGGTAACCGGATAGATCGGCTGGCTGCATGTGATCAGATTATCGGGCATTTTGATTAGAATATCTTTAGCGCTAGCACCACCAGACTTTAGGTTAGGGTTAGGATCAAAATAAAAGTTAAAGGTTTAGGGTTTTTTAGGGCGCTAACGTTTATTACTTAGAAATTACTAAAGCCGTTCTTGAGAAACAGCATACCTGGGGAATTTCACCTTTCCGGCGAGTCCTTATAATACAGTATATACGTATATATTGGTAAACTAATTTTATCAGCATTTATACTGTCTACTGTAACAAACACTAACGCTAATAATGCTCAGCTCAACTCAGATATATTCCGTAGATATACCAAATATAGAACTGCTAATGTGCAAAGTTTAGGGACAAAGTTTGTACTACGACTTGTGACCTTTATAACAAACATGCGGAATTTTAACGTTTAAACTTACAAACAATATAGATTTTACTTTGGATTTTCGCTTCTCACTACAGCACTATGATTTCTTCTCCACCTCTTACCCCCACACTACACATTCCCGATTCTGTTCACCCACCAATTCCAGGGGAGAGCCACCGTTATTACGGTAATATTCATAAAAATCAGGTAAAACTCCCCTCTAATATTCAAACTTCTCAACCTTCTCGATCAGACATTGATGGTTCTGTGGAAAATGATCTGGATATTCATGAAGCAACTGCCGCTGGAAATATGGCTAGAGTTAAGGAATTATTAGCTCCTCATGGTTCCGGTGAAACTACCTCTTCCTTTTTACTTGCTAACGGTGCAAGCACATCTTCTGGTTTAACCCCGCTACATTATGCTGCCTCTCGTGGTCACCTAGAAATCGTAAAGTGGTTAATTGCCGATGCCGGTGCCATAGTAGATCTTGAAGACCAAACCGGTGAGGTATGTCCATAATTGTAAAATAACAAACTATTTCCTCGGTATTTCATATCAATCATGTTTTTATATAGACAGCTCTTCTGAAAGCAGCTTACAATGGACGTGTCGATGTTGTAGCTTGGCTTTTACGAATGCAAGCTAATATTGAACAGAAAGACAACGATGGATGGACTGCTTTACATAATGCTTCTGCCCAAGGTCACTTGCATATTGTTAAACACTTACTAGAGATTGCTCATGCCGATGTTGATGTTAAAAGCAACAAAGGGCATACCCCATTAGGTGAGTTGAGTTATCTCCAATGAATAACTTGTCAGCAAAATCAATTGATGTTAAAATCATCACGTATATAATTTATTACATGTGAATTCACATGTTAATGATTGTTTTATATGATGATAGTTTGCCACTATACTTCGTCGATGATATATTTATTTGATGACACTATGTCCTTTTAAGTCACGTGTTTAACAAATTTTCCGTTATAGTGAATGCTGCATCGAAGGGACATCGTGATATTGTCGAATATCTCTTGGATCGCGGTGGTGCAAACCCTCTTATTAAGAATAAGTTTGGTGAAACCGCATATGATGCAGCCGCTATCTCTCAGGAAGTATATATTTGCGAATTGTTGGAAAAAGCTGAACGTGATTGGTGGAAGGGTAAAAAACCGCTACCACAACGTAGGTTTTTTAAGACATGGTTACATAATTCTATTTTGATTTTTTATTTTTTTATTTCATTTTATTTATTTCATTTCATTTATTTCATTTTATTTATTTCATTTTTATTTATTTCATTTTTATTTATTTCATTTTATTTATTTCATTTTATTGATTTCACTTTATTGATTTCATTCATTTATTGATTCATTTTATTTAATATTTTATTTTCTACAGCGTCTTCTTTCAACGATCTTGCACATATACCAGATACGAA